TGTGTGTGTGTGTGTGTATGTGTGTGTGTGTGTGTTGCTGTGGGCCCGCAGCGGTGGAGATAAGGGGGAGGGCACTGGAGATGTGAGGGGTCGAGGCCATAAAACCCAAGGACACCACTTTTAGAAGAGACTCCTCCTTCCATTCCTCTGGGCAGTGGCAGCGTCAAGTTTTCAGAGCAGTGGAAATAACCCCAAAGTCTTCTCTCCCTGCCTGCCCCAGGCCTCCTTCCACCCTCCTCCAGACCCATGAGGCCTGGTCCCCGCCTCCTAGTGGAATTCCTCAGGAATAAGGTAACCGTTCTGAAGTTAGACACAGCACAATGGGCAGGACGTTCTCAAATAATTTGTTCCTAGCTATGAAAGGCCAGAGTCTTCCAGCCTGTTGAGTTTGACAGACAATCTGTCTTCATTTCTGAATGTCCCCTAAGAACAAATCTGTTACACTCTGGCCAACACATTTCCATGGAAATGAAATAATGAAATCTGACTAAAATGTCAAACTCTAATATCTAACAAAGAATGGAGTAGACACAGTGAGAGAAGGAACATCCAGGAAACTTTCTTCTGGTGGCTCAACCCAGACGCTGCCCTTGGTGCATTTCCATGGAAATGACAGACACTAACGCCCTCCACGTGTATGTGGCTCACATCGGAAAAGACCACCCAGGCCAGAAAAGAGACTGCTCACAGCCTGCATGGAACATTCCCTCATCGCTGGCCTTCAAACCTACTGAAGTGAACACTTCAGAGAGGAAATAGAGCAGAGCCAAATTTCCCAGCCACGTGAAAACTGAGAGGGAGAAGCTTCCAGCCCCAAAGGATCTTAATCCCGGCTGCGTCTGGCTCCGGCTGCCAGCCTGCCACTGCCCTTCTCTCCCTGGCACCAGCGAGGACTTCCTCAGAGGACAGGATGGTCTGCACATGAGCTCCCCTTCCTGCCCCAGCATGCCCCAGCAAGCTCGTGTCGTCTGGGGAGTAGACTCCATCTCAGACCAGACCTGAGGCATTTCCTGTGTTGGGGGCGGGGGTGCGGGGGGTTGTGCCTACAGCTTTGTGCTTTCAAGTGGGAATGATAATAATACAAATGGCAGGGCAGGCCCAGTGGTGCAAGCGGTTAAGCACGCGTGCTCCGCTGCGGCGGATCGGGGTTCGCCTGTTCGGATCCTGGGCGTGCACCGACGCACCGCTTGGCGGGCCATGCTGTGGTGGCGTCCCATATAAAGTGGAGGAAGATGGGCATGGATGTTAGCCCAGGGCCAGTCTTCCTCAGCAAAAAGAGGAGGATTGGCAGATGTTAGCACAGGGCTGATCTTCCTCACACACACACACACATACACAAAAATAGAAATGGCTACCATTCTATTCAAGAACTTACTAAGCCATCAGGCACCCAGTTAAGCACATTATATGTATTTTAAAAATTAATTCATATGAGGTAGGCACTATTATCTCCATTTGACATATGAGGAAACTAAGGCTGGTTTCTCCTAAATAAATTAAAAAAAAAAAAAAACTCTTCCCAGGTAAACACCGGAATAGACACGGCCCTTTGAGCTCAGAATGCCTTCTATCACTATTTGATAGAGCCTGGTGGAATACGTCCCTTTTCGGAATGTGTCTCTTATGGACGTAGGACACAAAGGGATGGAGGGGTCAGCTTCTAAGAGTGCCAAGGGCCTGATTCTGGAGGAAAATGTCACCTCATTGATGATGCTCAGACATAGGTCAGCGGCTGAGGTGGATTCTGCTCGGCCCCTCCTCTCTTCCTGTCCCCCACAGGCCCAAGAGCGGGGGGGTGTCCTGCCCCTTCCCCTCCTAGAGCCTTTCAGCCTCTCCCCTTCCTGTCTGGCTGTACCTTGAGCGTGCTGTGGCTTAGGATGTCTCAGTCTCCAAGGGGATGGGTGATTTGTGTCCTTTTATTCAGCAAACAGCTTTGTATAGAATGGATGCGACTTGCTGAATGTCACCGGGCGGGGGCAGGGGAGCCGTGTAGAATCCCAATGAAGCCTGGAAGGCCTGGGCAAAATGCCACTGGGTGACTTTGTTATTGTGTGTTTTCTCTGGTGGGAGTAAGGAAGAGGCAGCAGATCCTGAAAGGTTCCAGGATAGCTGCTTGAGTGGCAGGGAAATGCCAAAACCCCAGCCTCTGGCTCCCTGCTCATGCCTGCCTCTCCTGTTTCTCCGTCTTCTCCTGGCACTGTGCAGGAGACAACCAGGCAGTCAGCAAACTGTGGACCTGGGGAGGAGGGCTCCTTCCTGTGGAGCTGTCCGTGTGCAGAGGCTGAGTGTGCCAGGGGCCTCAGAGCCCAGGGCCTGCCTGGCTGCAGAAAAAAGCACAAGGGACCCAGGCATTCAGTCAGGGCTCAGCCCTGCACCCAACTCTCCCCAAACCCACAATGCCGGCTGGAGGCTCCTCAGCCCCTCGCCTCCCTTTCCAGTCTTCTCCTCTGATCTCTCCCTGCTCCTCCTCTCATTTCTCCCCGTTGACACCTGGGTCTATAAGTTTCCTGAGGCCACGAGCCATGCCTATTCCTCCCTGCACCACTCCTCCCCACCCTGATCCCACATACACACACAGGATGCCCAGTTCAGCCCCATTCCCCACACATGGGAGACAATCAATGTTTGTTGAATGAATGACAAATGGTCATCTTGTTCTCCCACGAACTCTGGTACCCCAGCACTGACCCCTGCAGGCTGCTCTGGCAGGATGATAGGCATAGCCCAGATGTTTGGGCAAATGATGCCAGTGTGCTACAAATGCACTAAGGAATGGGAAAGATGGTAGATTCACAGAAGTTGGAGGGACCTTTGAGATCACACAGTCCAACCCTCTCACTTTACAGATGAGAAAACCGAGGCCTAGATGAGAATTGACTTGCAAAAGCAACACAGCATGTTGGGAGCAGAGCCAGGGTTCAGAACTAGGCCCTCTCACTCAGGTCCAGCCATTCTCCTACCCACCACACTGTCTCCTCCTCCCAAGTTGACCCGTGCCTCAGCTGCCAGCCCAGCTCCCCTCCGCAGCACTGGCTGCAGCGACTGGTCTGAGTCTCTAGCCCACACACTCAGTCTCCCAGGGAGGATGGCAATTAGTTTTCATTGTGCTGCTCAGCACGACCTGGGCTAGAGAAAAACCATGCATCTCCAGCACTCCAGGTCACTGTGGGCCCGGCAGGTTAGTATTCCAGGGCCAGGCCACGCAGGGACAGGGCAGGGAGACAAGAACAGACAGCAGACAGTCAGGGCCTGTGAGTGAAGCAGTCATCCCTGCCCCAGAGCAGACAGACAAAGCAGGGTCACCCAGTGGTGGGGGGCAGTTGGAAAGAATGGAATGAGATGGCACAGCACCTCCACTCACCCTCCTGCAGAATGGAAGGGGACAAAAGTAAAGGAAAAGGCCAGAGGGGTGAGCCAGATGCAGACAGGAAACTCGCTCTTTCTCCTCTCCCTATCATCTCCTCAGGGCCAGGGGAGAGGGAAGGGAAAGGAGGGTGAAAGGAGGACACTGAGCATTTATCAGTTCACCTCCCTCTGCGAGGTACCCAGAGCATCTCAACCACTAGTTCCAGCAGGGACAGCAGATGGTCCAAAACCACCGAGAGTCGGAGGCAGGAACTGGGTTCTGCCAGCCAATGGCCACTGGGGATTTCAAGCTCCCTCAGACAGCTCCAAGCCCCAATCTTCTGACTGTACTCAGTGAGACAACCACTCTCTCAGTGGATTTAGAACGTGACTGGGATTCCAGAGGGCAACTGGTCCACCCCTCATAATCCAACGTCCCCACTCTACAGGCATGGAGACACAGGCCCAGGGAGCAGGGACTTGTCCAAATACGCAGCACCAAGACTGCTCCATAAACAGAAACCAGGTGTCTGAGCTCCCACTCCAGGGACACTGAGGACCTTCCCGGTCAGTCCTGGTGACTCCCACGCGTCCAAACCCTTGATCAGGAGCCCCCGCCCGTCTGTAGCAGGCCCTTGCTACTCAGGGACAAGTACAAAAGGGAGAGGCTCTCCCAGGACCTCTGGAAGAACGCCTCCGCTGACTGTACCCCAGGAGAAAGAGGGGAGAAGCAGGGGCGGCCCCCTACAGAACGGCGGCCTCAAGGAGGAAGTGAGCTCAGGGGGCCTAGTGGAAGAGAGAAGGACCACTGGGGGAGGGGCAGGGCCTGGAGCAGACTGCCTGGGGCCTCACCCCTGGTCGCCAGGGGAGGAGGGGCTCCAAGGCCCTGCTCATCAGCCCCAAGGAGAGCTGCCCCTGCCCTGCGGCTACGAGATAGCAAGTGGGAAGTGACTCTCACCAGTCCACACTGACAAAGTCGAGCACTAGCAAAGGCAGCCCCCTCATTCTCCACCTCCATTTTTGGACTTGAAAACAATTTTCTTTCATTGTTGTGATTTCGGTGGTCAATCTATCTTTATGGAATCATAGTATTTTCTTGCTTTAAAAACCCTCAGCCTAACTCTTTCTTTTTTCTGCCTCATGTTTGCTTCCACGGTATGAACAAGCCTATATGGGGAGCTGGCAGATTACAGCCGGCGTGGGGGTAGGGCTGGACTGGAGGCAGCGGGAGGGTGAGCTGAGGGGCCAGTTCACCCTGCGGAGATGGCCCTAGCCAGACACAGCCCTCTTCTTTCCAGGCTCCTTCTCTTGCCCCGAGGGTGGCAGAGGGAGGCCTTTTTGTCTCCTTTGACCACTTCTGTACCTTGGCCCCTCCAGTGGTGCACTGCACAGAGAACGCTCAACAAATCAATGACTTTCCAGGAGAAACAGAGGCCGGTCAAGATGCAGTGATTGGCTACAGACCACGTGAGTCTGGATTCTGGGGCCAATCAGGAAGCTGCTAGGACTGGAGCAAGGATTTCTGGGAAATGGCCAAGACTTCAGGGGTCTCGTGTCCTCCCCTGAGTGCTTCTTCCCCACTGAGTTCCCCGGACTCTTAAGAGATCCTGGGCAGGTGGGTGGGAGGGAGAGGAGCCCGGAGGCGGGGCACTCACTCCAGCACGTCGCGGTTGAACTGCTTCTTGCTGTTGCCCAGGAACTCTCCGATCATCTGCCGGCTGAGGCCCTTACGCTGGAGCAGGAAGTGGGCCACTCCGATGGGGGTGTCAGGGATGAAGCCGCGAGAGATCAGGAACTGGATGCCCTTGTCCGGGTTTCTGGAGGTGGGGGTGGGGAGAAGGAGTGGAGAGTGAGCCAAGGCCATCCATGACTTCTTTCCTCCCTTTCTTCCAGCCAGGGGAAGTGCCACTGGGTCCTTGTAAAGAATTCCCAGGAAATGCTAGGATTCCTTCCAACGCAGAGGGGTTCCCCACTGGAAGTGCCTCTCACCAGAGCCTCACTCTCCTAAACCTCCCCACACAGGAGTGAAGATAGTGAGTGGCGGGAAGCCAGGGAAGGAGGGTCTGGCCAAGCAAAGTGAATTCCAGAGCAGATGGGGAGGTGTGCCTTCCCTCTTCCTGCCTCACTCCCACTGCATCTTACCCTGAGGTCCCCCAGGCCCTCCAAGAAGGCTCTTCCCTGTATCATATCATCTATACACAGTACCCACCCTGGAATCTGGAGAGAGGGTGAGACTGAGAAACAGAGGTGAGATCCCCACCACACCCCCTCTTCCCTGTTGATGGTGGGCACAAGAATCCTGCTTGCCAGCATTTACTTTCTCAGGCTTGAGTCTCTGTGTGTGGGTGTAGGTGTTGGTGTGGGTGCTGTGCCTTAAGGCTAATGTGCTCACAGTGTGGTCTGCAAATCCATGCTGCGCCCTGAACTGTTTCTTACTGGTCCAGGAGGAGATAAGTACAGAAATAGAAGGTAAGCATTTAGAACCTTTTATAGCACTTTGACATTTTCAGGACAACTAAGCATGTGATTATTTTTCTAGCAATTCATTTTTCTTGTATTTTACAAAAGTGTCAGCCCACAACGTCTTGGGTAAAAACCCAAACTGGTACTTCACTACAGAGAGTTTGAGAACCCCTGTCTTGAGGGACCCGAGTATCTGTGTGAGCATTCGTGTGCATGCTGAAGTGAGGCCGTGGATGTGTCAGGGTGGGGGCTATGCTCACCGAGATGGCAGCCTGATGTCAAAGAAAGAGCAACGGACTGGGAGTCAGACAGATCTGGCTTCACCTAAGTCTGGCGCTTACTAGCTGTTTCACAGTGTAAGCAACTCTCATTAGTGGTGTGAGCCTGTTTCCTTTTCTGTGAAATGGCATAATGATGCTATCTCTAGATATTGCTGGGAAGATTGCAGATGCTTTATGAACAGTAGCTATTCTCCTGGAATATAAGCTTCTTGAGACCAAGGGATGTGTCTTACTCATCTTTGTGGTCAAGGAGCCTGGCACTCAATACATAACAGTGGAGTGAATAAATGAAGTTACCTGTGGGCAGGAGGGATGTTGTGTCTCCTGGCTCAGGGCTCTGAAGGAAGGAGTGAGTGGAGGGTGGAGATGAGTGCCTCCTCTACTTGAGATTTCCCTCAGAGGGGCAGGTGTGTTTCCTCTGCTTGCCACTGGCTGTATACCTTCTGGTTGCAAGGAAAGGTCTGGCTGCAGGCTCTGGCTGGGGGCTCTGAGCTGTGGCAGTCGTTGGTTTCTGTCCTTCCATTCCCTTGTTCTCCTTCTACTCTGCCTCCGCATGCTTCGCACTCTCTTCCTGGTCTCCCTCCTCTGTGTATCCCGCCCTCTCCTGCTTCCTGCCTGTAATCCTCACACTAGGTCTCTCCCTCCTCTCCAGTCCCTCATCTCCCTGTCGTCATTTTCTCCTTCGCTCATTGTCTCCTCTCTCCTCTCCATCAACCCCATGAGATTGCTGTGTTTCCCCCACTTCATATCCTACCTGAATGATTTCTGCTCAATCCTCATACTACGTGTACTATTTACTTAATACTGTACTTTCTTTTAAATTCTCTCACTTTTCAAACTCTAGTTTCATCTTAAGCAGTAATAGTGGCGAAATCATGGATTTGAAGTGTTATTTGGTCCCTATTCCTTCTTAAAATTGAGTCATAATTAAAACTAAAACATGTATTGGTACACAGTATCAGTATGTCAAGGAGCAGGCGCGTCACAAACGCCACCCGGGAGGACACTGGGATGACGTGGTAAATTACCTGGCACCCTGCTAACCTGTAAATGCAGGTGCCCCCTCTTCTTCCCTTCCCGCGGGGACCTCCCCCAGGCCTCACTGGAGCTCCCGAGCCAGTGCTCACTTACATGTTGAAGAGGTTGAGGCCGATGCGGTAGAGCCGCTTGCGCAGGGTGTCGGTGGAGAGCGTGGGCGACGTGCAGCTGGCCGGGCTCTCGCAGTGGTAGCGCGGCAGGCTCAGGATCATGGCCTGCAGGGCCTCCTTGGAGGCCGAGGCCGATACTTCCGAGCCCGACTTGGCGGACTTGGTGGACGTGCTGCTGCTGCTCAGCTGCTCCAAGTTGTCGCCGGCCTCGGCCTCGGCCCCTTTCCCCACCTCCCCTGCCTCCTCCTCCTCTTGCTCCTCAGCCTCCGTGGCCGCGGCCTCCTCCACCACCACCTCCGCGGCCCCAGCTCTGTTGGCTCCCAGGACCCCGCCGGCTCCGGCCTCTGCGCACGTGTTCTCGGAGGGCGCGTCCCCCTGGCCCGCGGCGGTCGCCACCGCGGCCTCCTGTCCCCGGGCCTCGCCTGGCTCGGCTTTGCCGGCCGCGGACTCTGCTGGGGCCTGGGCCGTCTGCGAGCCCAGACAGTTGGCCACTGACAAAGTGGAGGAGACAGAGATGTTCTGGTTGGCGATCTGCACGGTGACGTCGCGGAAAGCCATCATGAGGGTGCTGCTGTGGCCCTGGGGCAGGCCGGTGGCTTCGGCGGCCTCTTCCCCGGGCCCCGGGTGTGTGCTCTCGGGCTCCCGCATCTCGGCCCCCAGGCCCGGGGGCCCGGCGCCGGCGTGCAGGGCCTGGTGGATCTGGTAAGCGCCGCTCTCCTGCAGGGAGCACATGGTCTTGAGGCTCCAGGTGCTGAGGGCGTCGTCGATGGACTTGGCCAGGGACTGCACCTGCTCGGTGAAGGAGTCCTCCAGCTCGGTGAGCGTGCCCGCGAAGGTGGGCGGCAGGGAGGGCGAGCGCACCAGCGGCAGCCCCATGAGGCCGTAGCCCTCCATGAGCGCCTTCTCGGCCGCCAGGCTCTCGGCAGTGGGCGCCCGCACCTTGCGCAGGGAGATCCGCCGCGGCAGGCGGCTCTCCAAGAGCGAGTTGCGGATCTTCTCGAAGTTCTTGCTGAGCTGGTACTGGCGGAAGGCGGTTTGGATCGTGCAAGCGGCGCGCCGGGACACCAGGTGGCCTCCGTATTTGTGTTCTAGCATTTCAATCTGCAACAAGGACGGAGAGGAGGAGGCGCGGTTGGGGCAGGGACGCTGCAGCGCTTCCGAAAGGAGGTGCTGGTGGCTGTCCACCAGTGCAGGGAGTCACCCGGCCAAACTTCGGCGGCGCTCAGCAATGCACAGCGGGTGGGTGGGGGTGGGCACTGAGGGGCTTAAGTCTGAAAACTCCTAGCCTGTCGTGGCCTGAGATACCAGGTCCCTGGCAAAACCCCCAGAGCTGTAGGATGTGGGATTGGATTCCCCGGCTTGGTGAGGCCCCAGGGCAGGGGAGAGAGGTGTTGCTGATGGTAGTTAGATGTTGCTGTGGCGATTATTTTAATATGTTCATATCAGAGATGCACATGGAAGTATTTATGAGCGGAATGCATGATAATTTTGAATTTGTATTAAAATACTTCATCAAAAAAAGTGGAAGGGTTATATGAAACAATATTAATAAAAATAGTTGGACAGACAAAAACTAGACTATTGGTGGTAAACAGGCAGTCTATACAGAAACTGAAATATAATAATGTACATCTGAAATTTACACAATGTTATAAGCCAATATGACCTCAATAAAATAATTTTAAAAAAATAGTTGGAGCTGGGTGATAGTTATGTGGGAGTTTATTACATTATTCCTTCTACTTTTGTGTACACTTAAAAATAATAAAAAATTAACAGAAATGCTTTAAAAATTGCCACTTTTCCTGTTCACCTGCGTTCCCTCTTAGCATTCATGTCACTGCACTGGGGTAGGTTTGGTTATCTCTGTGTTCCCAGTACCCAGCCCAGGGGCTGGCATATGGTAGGTGCTCAATAAATGTGAATTGAAGAAAAAGGTGGATGGATGATGATGGGTGATGGATGGGTGACGGATGGCTGTTTCAAGAGTGGGAGTGTCCCTCCAGGCTGCCATGCTCCATATTCAAGTCCCCTCTGTTCTCAACAATGGGAGCTGTACAACCAGTGCATGACTTGGTGGGGCTGGCTGGTGGGGTGTGCTACCTCATCTGGGCAGATCTGAACTCAGGATGTGGGGCCAGTTTCTCTTCAAGGCCCTTACTCACCTCCTCTCAGCTCTCTCTCCCTGTCTATGGTCTTTTCTCCCCTTTGGGTTGCTGTGCCCTCTCTTTTTCTCCCTTATCAAAACCTCTCAGGAAAGGACTAGAAAGACATTCTCCCTGACGTGTAGTGTGAATAACCAATAACATTTAACAATGCCCCTTCCTGGAGATTTTTGCATTTAACTAACAGACAAGGCCTATGGTAAGGGGAGGGACATAATGGTAGTAGCATTGTGGGCTCTGATCAGTCCTTAGGGGAGTTTGGGAAGTGAGAAAGTGTTCCTGGGCCCTGAAATTATGTCCTGTTCACAGCCATACTCTCCACTGACACACAGTGTCATTCCTGAACTAAGAATCCAGATAGGTGGACTGAGATTAACAACTCAAGCCAAGAACAACATCATTGCTCCCATGTTCCCCCAGGGTCATGGGTGGGGAGGGTACAGATGGAAAGGCCCAATTTCATTCCCCAATACGAGGAACGTTCACCCTGCTTCCTATTCTACTCCACCCCCCAGGGACTGCAGCTGGAGTGACAGCCTCCCCATAGCCCCAGTAATCCCCTCTGCTCCCTCCCTGTGGGTGCCCCACAGCTGGACCAGCAGAGGCACCCTCCTCGCCCAGGAGACCTCACAGATACAATCCCAATCCCCAGGGACAATCCCAGGTCAAACAGGACGTCCTCACTCTTGTCTTCAGCTCTCCTGGTCTCGCCATTCAGTGCCCTTCCCCATCCTCAAACCTAGTGGCATTATGCTGTCTCTCTCCCCACAACCAACCCTCCACTCTGAAGATAGTTGGAAAACTTATTCCTCTTAAAGTTTGGATGGCCAAAAAGGCTTCCTATATTACTCCTTCCAGAATATTTTCACTTCACAAGGCACAAGGCCTTAAGCGGAAGGCAGGAATCTCTCCCAGTCCTCATGATCCTCACATTGCTCTTAAAACCTCAAGGTGCTCTTAAAAATCATACCAAGTGCATTTGCTATCTATTGCTGCATAACAAATTACCACAAACTTAGCAGCTTAACACAACGCCCACTTATTTCCTCGTAGTTCTGTAGGTCAGTAGTCTGGGCCCAGCTCCGCCAGGTTCTCGCCTTAGGATCTCACCAGGCTGAAATCAGGGTGTCATCTCACGTGGAGGCCCAGGTCCTCTTCCAAGCTAACTGTTGTCGGCAGAATTCAGCTCTTTGAGATTATAAGACTGAGGACCTCAGTTACTAGAGGCTGCCTGCTGTTCTCTGCCACAAGGCCATCTTCACAACATGGTTGTTTGCCCCTTCAAGGCCAACAGGAGAGCGTCTCTGTGATGCTTTACCTTCTTTTAAAGGGTTCACCTCATTGGTTCAGGCCCCCCACGATGATCTTCCTTTTGATTAACTCGGCGTCAACTGGTTGCTAACCTAATCATAGGAGTGATGTCCCATCTAGTCTCTAGTCCCGCCCACACTGGGAGGTGGGGGGGATCATACAGTATGTGCACACAAACGGGCAGGGATCTTGGGAGTTCTGCCTACATACCCATTGGACAGTTGCCTACTGGGTCTTTATTTAGGTATGACCTCACGTACCCAGGAGCTCCAGAGAAACACAGATACCTGCCTCTGAGGCATTCTGTTCCTGCTTGTGCAGAAATCACACCAGAAGGGAGACTACACTGTAGCTCGGCTGGTTCTCCCTGCGGAACTCTGGCAGGTTCCCTGAGGCCTGGAAGAGAGACTGGCCTTGGCTTAGGAAGGAAAATCCTCCAAGGGGAAGTGTAGAGAGTGAGGGGCACTGACCACTTAACTGCCTCCTCCTCTCTCAATTTCTGTCTCCCTTTTAACCCCCCTCCCCAAGCACCATGAGAAACTGACACCGGGCAGGAATTCACATCTCTTTCCTGCCTGTCCCATTCATATTTCTAGGGAAATCTCAGGCCCGAGAACATTCTTTTCAGGTTACAAGATGCTATTGGCAACAGAGGGAGGGTACGAAATCCCAAATGCCATTTATCCAAAACAGTAAAGGGGTCCACCCCCTGGCATGGTGTCATTCTGCTTGGAGGCAGAAGGCTGGCTGAGATAACCTGAGGAGACTTCTTCTACTAGCCAACATCCATGCTTCACCCAAGCAGAGGAGGAAACCAGACTTTAAATTCTTGAATCTGTTCCATCAGGTCCTCCGCTGGACTGTAAGTCTCACGAAGCATGGACTTTGCCTGACATGTTCACTGCTTTATCCCCAGGGCTTGGAGAGTGGCCAGCACACAGTAGGCCTTCAAGGAATATTTATTAAATAAATTATCTTTTAATTCCAAAGTCATCTTCGTGACTCTCAAAAACCTTTCTAATCTCACCTGTAACTTTCCTCTCCCGGAGCTGATGATCTCACCCTCTCTTGCCTCCTTTGTAAGTCTGCTTCCTCCTCTAGTCTCTCTTTTACTTGTTTTCCCAACCTCCATGCTGGCATTGGCCCCTTTCTGCTACCTACAGGCCCTCCTAGATCTCCCCAGGCTAAAACACAGCTCTGCTTGGCCTCCCTGCTTTGGCGCACTAGCCCAGTCTCTTTCTTTCTGTTTCCCACTGAACCTCTTGGAGGACTCATCTACACTCTCTGGCTCACTCCATGAGCAAATGCTCAACTACCGGTCTAACTCCGCAGGCCCTGACTCCTCACAGTCTGCCTCTCCCACCAGTCTTCTAAAATGACTCTCAGGAAGGTCACCAATGACCCTTAATCACTAAATCTGATGGCCCATCCTCAACCTTCCTCCTCCCTCCTTTCTGCAGCTCTTGATATCTTCATCACCTTGAAACTCTGTCCTCAGCTCTCATGACCCAGTCTATCTTGGTCTTTCTGTCTCCACACAGCTCCTTAATCCTATATTCCTATGCACTTTCCCTATGCACTTCTGGACATCTTCCATGACTTCCACGTTGGAAGTCGTTAGAGCAGCCCCCAGTAGTTGATAATTCGCAACTGATTAAGAGGGAGCTAGCTCAGGCAGAGCCTTTGTGGCAACTCTACAGATGTCCCACAGGCTAATATCTTCTATCTCTTGATGGGGAAGCTCGTCCACTGTTACAATTCACTCTACTTTAATGGGTTGAGGAGCAAGCCATAGGGGAAATACTAGTCTCAGATCTACCCCCACCCTACTGGGTGACCTTGGACAAGTTTCTGAACATCTCTGACTCTCAGTTTTCTTATCTGTTAAATGAGGCTAATCCTGCTGACTCTGTAGCTTGTTGTGAGGATTAAATTATTTCATATAGCAGCTGGCACATAGTAAGTGCTCAGTAAGTGGTAGCTATTTGATGACATGATGATTCTGTGAATGACGCTCAAGCCTCCATTCCAGGCTTTGATCCTAGACCTGCATTTCCACCAGACCGTGGGTCCCTCTGTCCCCTTGTACAAAGCCATTGTCTTTCCCCACCTTACTGTAACCAGCTCTTACTGACTTCCTTATTTGCCTAACAGCACCTTGGCTGTGAGGCCATCCGGTCAGGGAACCATGCATTTGTCCTTGGGTCCTCCTTTGCCCCATCCTCTGCATTTGTCAACCTCAAAGTCCTATAGCTGCTCCCCCCACCGCCCCCGGTATACCTTGTGCAATCATCCTGACCTTTCCACCAGACTGCCACCACGTGGGGCTCTCTTTGACTCCTTCCCCACTTGGACCACTCTGGCAGCCTCCTCACTGCCTCTCTGCTTCCTTCTTACCCCTGCCATCAACTTTACATTGTATTACCCTGATCAGCGCTCCCAAAGAACAGATGTAAACACAGGGCTTCTGCTGCTGGAGACCATTGCCCAAAAGAAGTATAAATGCTTCCTCCTGGCATTCTGACGCTGAGCAATCTGGCCTGGCCTACCGCCCAGCCTCTACTGCTGCACGAAGTCCATGTAACACACCAGCTTGACTCCCGCTCCTCCCCCAGCCCACACTGG